AAGGTATCTAATGTTGATTATTTTTCTTTTAAGACTTTTTAATGGTTTAATTTCATAGTTGCTTAGTTGCAACTTTTCAGATTGTTGGTCAATGTATGTGTTTAATTTTTCTATTGCTAATAAAGCTTCTTTATTTGAAACAGGTGGAAATTCTTCAATGGCTTCTTCTTCTTGATTTGCTCATTTTGAGTAATCATTAAAATTATTTCTTGTTCATCTATATCTATTTCATGTTCCTTTTCAGTATCATCAATTGTAATGTATTCAGATGCAGATATAGGATTAATGTGGGGAAGTTTATCAATTAAATTCTGTAAATCATTAACTTCTTTTACATTTGATGTATTTAAAATTGATGTTGCATTTTCAATTTCATTGGAATTATTATTAACATCAGGTAAAATACCAGTTTTTTTCCAACAGTTAATTATAGTTTGACTAGTAACTCTTTTCCAAGCTTTTGCTGTAAATTTAATTGCATCTTTAATTGGAATTTGCCTATAAAATTTAAAATCTAGACATTAGAAACTATTATAGAAAAATAAAAAATATTGATGTTTAGAAAAATTAAATAAAATTACTTTAAAGTTGTTGATTATTCCAGCATTACATGGTTGTAAAAATGCAGTTGTATTTGATGGTAAAAAGTGAACTTTCAAATTAATTAAATTTATTGATTCAGAAACAGAATGAGTAGGAGCATTATCTAATAATAATAAAATGGTTCTATTTTGGTTTTTCATTTCATTATTTAAATCTTTTAGATAATCATGAAAGATGGAAGTTTGCATCCATGCTTTAATATTCCAATAAAATTTCACTTTCAAGGTATTTTTATCAATGTTTCTAATTGCTTTTGGATTTTGATATTTGTGGATCAGAAGGGGTTTTAATTTTTCTGTTCCATCAGCATTACAAGTTAGCATTACAGTAATCCTTTCTTTTGATTTTTTTCTTTCAGTTACTGGCCCTGTGGCAGTGTTGGCATTTTTATATGTCCAATTAATTTCCAATTGGATTTGTCTTGTCCAATTGTCCAATCCAAATCCAATTGGCGCAGTATCTATTTGGACATTGGCATATTGGACAGTCCAATATGCCAACATCCAAATATTTGTGAGACATTCAAAAATTCTAAATAAAAAAAAAAATTATTTATTTATAATGTTCATTTATTTGCCATTAAAACAATGGGAAACAAACCACATTCTTTAACACCACACATTTATATTCTTAATGAAAAAGCCAATAACTTCAACAAATATGTACTTTGTTTATATTGTAGAAATGCCTTGGGTCATGAAGTTGCATATCAGAATAAATTATTGAATAAAAAAGATAGAATTAAGTCGCATTTAAAAAAATGTGAAAATTTCAAAGTGGTAGTAGGAGAGCTAAACATTAATCAAATTTTAGAAGAAGAAATACACCCAAATTCTCAAAAAAGAGCACGTATATACAATTGAACCAAGTATTATTAATTTATTATAATGAACTATTTGGTAATTTAAGAAATTAATTAATATTTTTTGTTTTTTTATTTGTTTTTATCTCAGGTAATGACAATACATCTAATACATCTGCATCAATGTCAACATCAACATCAACATCAACATCAACGTCACTAAATAAAAATATCACAAATTTGTCTTTGGGCTCTTTTCAAAGCAATAATATTAATAAATATAATATTGAAAGATTTATGCTATGTACTCCTACAAAATCTGAAGAATCAATATTAGAGGATCACTTACTTCGTATAACTGTATCTAATGGTTTGGCTTTCAGGTGGATTGAAAGCGAAGAAGTAAAGTCCCTTTTCAGATGGTTGAATCCAAATATAAGACTTCCAAATAGGAAGGCTCTTTCTGGAAGAATTTTGAATGATGCATCTCTTAAACATAATAGTTGGATAAAAGAACAAGCATCTAACTCTGAATATGGTGTGACAGTTGCATTGGATGGTTGGTTGAATGTTGTCAATGAAAAAATACTTGGTGTAATATTAATTACAAATGAAGGTGAAACACTAGTATGGAATGCTTATGATATTAGTGGTGAGAGAAGTCGTACTCAAGAAGTCCTCCAACATATTACATTGATTTTTGAAGATTTACAGTCAAAAAATATAATGATAAATGCTGTAGTTACTGACAGTGCAGCAGAATATGCAGCAGCTAGGTAAATATTTATATTTGTAAACTAAATAATATATTTTTAATTTATTATATATAACAAAAAAAAATTATATGCTAAATATCTTAATTTTATTTTATTTTTTTTATATTTTTCAGACGTCAACTACATGTTCAACATACAGATAAGGTGTTCATCCCTTGCTTTGCACACCAAGTAAATTTATGCATTGGTGAAATATTTAAGGAATCATACAGGATGAAACTTGTTGCAAAAGATGCAGTAGCTATTGCAAGTTATTTTAATAATGTTAATCATGCATATTGGATAAAAAGACTTCGTGATGAACAAATGGATTTGTATAGGAATACATATGGTTTAGTATCACCAAATGATACTCGATGGAACTCAAATTATGATTGCTATGTAAGTTTGTTGAGATCCAAAGGAGCTTTGAAGGTTGATTTTTTTTTTTTGCTCATTAATAGTTTATTTAATTTACGATCAATATTTATAACAAAGTTTTTTTTTACAACTAGACATTAGTAACCAAATATCAAGCCACAAGAAATTTGAGAACTAATGAAAGATCCTTTGTACTTTCTGATAATTTGTGTCAGATTATTAGTAATGAAGAGTGGTGGGAAGATGTAGAAGAACTTAAAGATCTTATGGAACCTTTTGCAAGATGTTTGGATAAATTACAGGCAGATAAGGCACAATTACAAGCACGTACAATTGAACCAAGTATTATTAATTTATTATAATGAACTCATTTGGTAATTTAAGAAATTAATTAATATTTTTTGTTTTTTTATTTGTTTTTATCTCAGGTAATGACAATACATCTAATACATCTGCATCAATGTCAACATCAACATCAACATCAACATCAACGTCACTAAATAAAAATATCACAAATTTGTCTTTGGGCTCTTTTCAAAGCAATAATATTAATAAATATAATATTGAAAGATTTATGCTACGTACTCCTACAAAATCTGAAGAATCAATATTAGAGGATCACTTACTTCGTATAACTGTATCTAATGGTTTGGCTTTCAGGTGGATTGAAAGCGAAGAAGTAAAGTCCTTTTCAGATGGTTGAATCCAAATATAAGACTTCCAAATAGGAAGGCTCTTTCTGGAAGAATTTTGAATGATGCATCTCTTAAACATAATAGTTGGATAAAAGAACAAGCATCTAACTCTGAATATGGTGTGACAGTTGCATTGGATGGTTGGTCGAATGTTGTCAATGAAAAAATACTTGGTGTAATATTAATTACAAATGAAGGTGAAACACTAGTATGGAATGCTTATGATATTAGTGGTGAGAGAAGTCGTACTCAAGAAGTCCTCCAACATATTACATTGATTTTTGAAGATTTACAGTCAAAAAATATAATGATAAATGCTGTAGTTACTGACAGTGCAGCAGAATATGCAGCAGCTAGGTAAATATTTATATTTGTAAACTAAATAATATATTTTTAATTTATTATATATAACAAAAAAAAATTATATGCTAAATATCTTAATTTTATTTTATTTTTTTTATATTTTTCAGATGTCAACTACGTGTTCAACATACAGATAAGGTGTTCATCCCTTGCTTTGCACACCAAGTAAATTTATGCATTGGTGAAATATTTAAGGAATCATACAGGATGAAACTTGTTGCAAAAGATGCAGTAGCTATTGCAAGTTATTTTAATAATGTTAATCATGCATATTGGATAAAAAGACTTCGTGATGAACAAATGGATTTGTATAGGAATACATATGGTTTAGTATCACCAAATGATACTCGATGGAACTCAAATTATGATTGCTATGTAAGTTTGTTGAGATCCAAAGGAGCTTTGAAGGTTGATTTTTTTTTTTTGCTCATTAATAGTTTATTTAATTTACGATCAATATTTATAACAAAGTTTTTTTTTACAACTAGACATTAGTAACCAAATATCAAGCCACAAGAAATTTGAGAACTAATGAAAGATCCTTTGTACTTTCTGATAATTTGTGTCAGATTATTAGTAATGAAGAGTGGTGGGAAGATGTAGAAGAACTTAAAGATCTTATGGAACCTTTTGCAAGATGTTTGGATAAATTACAGGCAGATAAGGCACAATTACATGATGTTATATTGTCATTTGGTTATTTTGTCCAAATATACAAAAATCATCATGATCAAGAGTTTGCAGCTCGTATGATAAATAGAATTGAAAAAAGATGGAATAGTTGGGAGCAGACTTTATTGATTATTTCAATTTTCCTTCACCCTACTTTAAAAGATACAACATTTAATGATTCAATTCCAAATTTAACTTGGGTTGATTTAGGAAGATGGATTGCCTATTATTATGTTGTATGGTTTAAAAAGAGGCCTCATAATTTATTATTAGAAATTGAAAACTTCTGAAGAAAAAAATTTCCATTTTCAGAACCATACTATTCTATGCTTTCCAAAGATGTTAAACAATTTTGGAGTTATTTTTCTACACATGCAACAGAATTAGGACCAGTTGCAATTAGGCTTTATGGAATTTGCACAAACTCTGCTTCTGTAGAGAGATTGTGGTCGTTGATGGGATTCTTACATAACATAAGGAGAAATAAATTAAAGGTTACTGTCTATACTTATTATATTTTATTGACCAACTGAGCCAACAGAATTCTGATATTTTATAAAATTTTTTAGCTTCAAAAGGTCTTAACCATGGCACAACTGAGAGCAACCATTCATTTCAATACTAAACAAGAAAAGAAAAAATTTTCACATCATCATACATCATTACCATTACCATCAGATGAAAATGATGATTGCACCATTTTGGATCATAACAATAATGATAACAGAAATGGTAATGATCATAATAACATTACAATCTCAAGTAATGAAAATGATGGAATTTTAGGTGAAGAAGATATCGAAGATGGTGATACCATTACTAAAACTATAACTACTAATGAAGAAATAGAAGCTTATTTTAGGACCTGTGAAAGAATGATACAAGAAGAAAGAGCTGCAATTGAAGATGAAAATATTTCTAATTTCATATTCTTGCCAGCAGAAGATGTTTTTGACTTGGTAGGAGAAACAGAACATCCTGCTAACAATAAGGATGCTAAATGGGCTATAAAAGATTTATTTAAACCTTTAGATATCAATCTCTGGTTGATGAAAAATTATCTTCTTTTTATTACTTGATTTTGTTAATTAAAAATTTTTAATTTTAATTATAAATAAAAGTTATATTGCTTTTTATAAAAATTGAATAATTTTTCTTATTAAAATTTTCATTGATGAGAGTGTTGGCATATTGGACAATCCAATTCCAAATACTAATTGGACATTTGGATCCAAATTGGACTGTCCAATATGCCAATGTGGCTTTGTTACACCATGTCCAATTCCAAATACTAATTGGACATTTGGATCCAAATATTGGACACAAATTGGACAAATTGGACATTTGGACAGATTTGCCAACACTGCCCTGTGGACAACACTCTAGAAGGCTCCAATTGCCAAAATAAGCCTGTTTCATCTGCATTGAAAATATCAGATAATTGGTATTGACTTGTAATATTTTTTATTTGTTCTCTAT